ATGGCTTTGGGTATATCATAATAAGATCCCCATACACCCTATATTCTATCTACTTAAGGGGAACTATACCCTAAACCCTAAACCCTAAGCCCCATATTCTATCTACTTAAGGGGGACTCTAGGGCTTCTCAGGATCTGAAACTCAGCCGAGATGCATTCGATGCCCAGGACGGCCTTCAAACCGAGTACACGGATCTCTTAACAAACGACCCATCCCAGACCCCCAAAGGGATCTAAAAGTTAGATCCCCTAGAACCATCCCAGAGGGTCCAAGCACCCAATGATTAGGTACTTGGGTTTTGGGTAATAGTAATTCTAGTACAGGTTTTGGGTAAGTATATGACTAGGGCATATGGGAAATTATATAAGGATTATATAGGGGTTCTAAAGGGTCCATATAGGGGATCCCGTGGGTCTGGGTAGTGTCCTCGAAATCCTGCAAGTTAGGATGTCCTTAAGCGGGGGTGGTCCAAGGGGGGTAGGTAACCTAGTAATCCCCATTATTCCCTTATACTCCCTCAGCTTCCCTAAGGTTCCTCAAGGTTCCCTTGTACCCTCCCCCTTGAACTACTCCCCCTTTAGGATCCTATAATGCAAGCGTTCCTCGTTCCTAGAAAGAGAACCTTCTGATATTTGTTCTAAGGTGGTGCACAATAGCGGAGGGAACTTGACTTACGACAAAACCTGCCGAAATAGAGGGCTTCAGAAGATTTGCAGTGTCTCCTACCATGGCCAATGCTTGTCAGTTCAGGACTGTCAAAAAACGTTGCTCGGCAGCTGCAGTGCCTCCAATCCGCAACACCCCAAACGCTGCTTCTCCAGACTTCTGGCAACCCTTCCATCAAGGAGTACTACAAATCAGATTACGAATCCAGGTCATTCCGGGTGCATTGATCCTGAACCCTAAAGCTTCGTGGGGTCAAAGTGCCGTACAAACCAGAAAGTTGGAACTTCAGTATCCATCCCCACCCAAAAACCTAAACCAGAGAACAGAACATACATCATCACCCCATTTCCAGATCTCAACTTTTTGGCCTTTGCGGAAGTTAGCCCAAATGCCATCTTCTCAGAACCCCGCAGTTACGCTCTTACCTCGTGCGGCAACACAGGCTCTTCTGTGTGGCTACAGATGAAAACACCATATAGTCCCCCTTAAGTAGATAGAATATGGCTTTGGGTATCATATAACCAGATCCCCATATACCCCATATCATATCCATCTAATAAGGGAGCCTATAACCCTAAACCCTAATCCCTAAACCATATTCTATCTACTCAAGGGAAACTATATACCCTTAACAAAGTATGGAGGATCCCGAAAGTTGAAATCTTCTACACGACCAGAATGGCCCCCAAACCCTGACACAAATCACAAAATGACATCATTCTACATACTTTTTGGGTCTATAGGTAGCCATTATTACATACTTTTTGGGTCTATAGGTAGTCATTATTACCTTTGTTGCCCCAGACAGCCCACAATCCTTTCAGCGTCCATTTGGTTCCCACAGGTGTTGCCAAAGAATAGGAAAGCCGAAGGAGCGCGCCTTTGCCTTTTCCACGCTGGGCACTCGCATCTGCACATCGTGCCTGGGTATTTCAGGACTCAGTGACCGACGGCTGGACGTTTTGGGGGTTTGGGCTTTAGAAACTTGAATCCTACAAGCGATTTGCATCTAGATTTAATTAGGATCTTCTAAACATGTGCCTCAATCTTCTTAACAAGTGGATGTTTGCAGCAACTGTCTTCAAAAACATGGGCGAAGCTCATGTATGAAAACACAACAATGAGAAATGCCCATCTAGGGTTTACAGTTTACGGTTTCCTCACCTCCCGGACCCTAAACCGCCGTCCTTGCAGCAGAGCCCAAATGTTGAAGCCTTGCAGCAATCTAGCGGACGCCACCAGCATTTTTGGCAAAGCCTCATACCCCGAAATCTGCTTGAACGTTCATGGAACTTGGTAACCGCTGGTGGACTTATTATAACCTACTGATACTCCGATTAACTTGACTTGCACAGGTTTCTCGCCAATTAAGAGCAGCGTTTTACATCCAGCTATAAGTAGTTCCATGGCCTTTTAAGTAAGACCTTTGCCTACACTTTTTCCAACGTGCTCTGGTCCCTTCCACTGACTTTCTCTGCACGAATTAACCTCAAAAGCAGGATGCACATGGCATAGTCTATGCGGTTTCAGATCTGTATGCCCATTTAGTTTTATAGCTGATTGAGTAGTGGACACGACGCACAAAACATACGACGCACTCTGCAACAGACACTTCCGTAGCACTTGTGGCCACGTGTGGATTCAGCACTTAGTTCCGTACCTCCCATCCGGAGGCCGGAGGAGGGTACGCTCCTAAGCGCCACAAGACTTTCATACAATGGCTGCTCGACTGGGCAACCCAAGTGTGATTTACCTGTATCCTTGATTGCATTTAATTACAGATCAACCGCGGACTCATCGCCGGCGTCTGCCGTCATGGGAGTCCTGTGAGCCTCAAGGACTTCGGCCGTGTCTGCTTCTGTTGCGCCCGTCAGGAACAAGTTGATCTTCAGCATGAGCTCTGGCCATGTCTGCACCATCTCCATGTAGGACGGTAGCTTCATGACCTGGGAATGCAAGCAAGGATCTTGATCGAATGTACCTGTATGATTACCAACAGCACCTTGGAGTCAGCCCAGTGTTTTCAGACACCCCTCCCCCACCCCAGATTTCATATATTTCGCATTTCCCACCTTGCTCATGTGGTTCTTGATGTAGGCAAGGCACCGCTTTTCGAGCTGCTGGGCCTGCATGCAGCTGAAACCTGCAACCCCAAAGTGGAAATCCTGAAGCCGTTGGGCAAACCCAGACCCCTACTAAGGGTTAACCCTTAGGTACCTATGATAGGAATATAAGGGAATCCCACAGGGTTAAGGGTCTAAGGTCCAAGCTAAGTCTCTAAGATTACTCCTAAAGCTCTAGCACACCTGCCTTTTCGACTTAACCGCCCTATTCCAAATACCCCTCAACCCTCCTAAATCCCCCCGTCCTAATTCCTAAGCCTTACAATCCCGCGCGTCCGCTACTACCCTCAAGGCTTGGGGGCCCAAATCCCCTTGAACCTTACTACCCTGAAACCCTTTCACCCGAAATCCCCACTGCCAATTTTACACCCAACCTTAACTCCAAACCTCAGAGCCTACACAATGGGTAAGCCCCCACCCAGTAACAGTCTGTAATAGGGCTCATATTCAGAGAATATGACAATATTAGAACTACCTTGACCCCAAAAGTATGTAAAATAATGGCCTTTATGGCCATTATTATGGGTTTAGGGCTATTATTTTACATACTTTTGGGGTTTAGGTAGAAGTATTATCCAACTGTTCCTGAATGGGGGGCCACCAATCCCCTGAAGCCCTGGGCCTGTAGGAGGTGAGCCTGGCTGAGGATACTGCAAACGGCCGAGGTGCAAAGCTTTTCAGACAGCTGCGCCTTAGGGTGTCAGGGGTCCTAAATTCGATTAGGTCCATCTTGGTCAACAACAGTCAGCAACTTGGAGGTTTCTAGAAAAAGGCCTGAGAGGCCCTAAAGCTCCTGGCACATTGGGTCAGGTTGCTCCCAGGTCCCTGAAAGCACCTGAAATGTGGGCTGGAAGCCTGAAAAGGCGGTCTCAGGTGGCTTTTTTATGTCCAGGCCTGGGAAAACGTTTAGGGCTTAGGGTCAGGAATTCATATAAGAGTAGGACTTAGGGACTTAGGGTAGAAGGTTTAGGGTTTAGGGTTTGAGGTGACGTTCAAGGCATTGGGGCAAATAGTTGTAGCGGAGGAACGCATATACGTACAACTTCCGTTTGGGGTTAAAGGTGTTAGGGTTTGAGAAGGTTTACGGCCCAACTGCGCCGCAGAACTTTTTTGTATTGGTCTGCATTGAAAGGTCTACGATTCATCCAGGTCTGGCATGTGGAGAATACAAGGCTTTCAGGGCCAGATCGCGCTGAAGCTCGAGTTATGCGTTTACACAGGCTTCCCCAAAATAGAGGCCTTGCTTGGGAGTACGGATTGTATCTTGGGGTCTATCTTAGGGACCCCAAGCCCAAACTTTGACGTTTTGGTGCTTCGAAAGGCTGCGCCTCGCACCAGCACTGGAGACGAGCCATCTGGTACCTTACATGGGGGATTGTCAAAATTATGGTCCCTTTTTGGGTCCCCTAAATTAGGCCCCGTATTATAATAGGGACCCAAAAAGGGACCATAATTTTGACAGTTCCCCACATGATCTGAGATGTTGATGGATGCTGACTTTCAGTATTAGTTGTTAAAGGAGTCTATGGAGATGCCTGCAAGCCAATGACCACTTGAAAAACAATGTGCTTGGGGGCGAAGGCCAGCAGGCTGCAGACTTGAAGACTTTCGGGTACTGGGCTCTTTGGGGCCAGGGTTGTGACTTCATCAGAGGGGCAAGTCGGGTCTTTCGTCAGATGCCGTGTGAATAAGAAATCAAATAAACTCAAACGGGTATCCGCATGAACATCCCTTCCAGAGGCTCCGACCGAATAAGTCTGGGTGCAACTAGTTTGGCCAATGTCCTTAATCTGCAGCACATACTCCCCAAGCTGCATTGCTTCCATCTGTATCACTGCCTCAACTTAAGAGGTACTGCATAAAATACGTCACACTTCTACTCACTGAACCTAGAATGCTACATAAACATTTGAACTCACTAGCCAATCTTTAAACTTCCATACTTTGACCCCAAACCCTACACCGGACTCTTCCCCTCAGATTCGCAGATATCACCCCCCTCTGAAGAACATTTCCCTTCACACAAACATACATACATACATACATACATACATATCTAAATAAATAAATACGTAAATAAATAAATAAATAAAATAAGTAAACAAATAAATATATTGGTACTATATTACTAGAATGGGCGCCGGAAGGTTGTCATCAGGAGAAGCGAAGAGCCAAGATGCTTATGGCTCACGGCCAGCAGAGCCTGCATATCATCCAAACGCGAAGTGTCATCACTTGAGGTCGCCCCACTGGCCGACGTCTCAGAAGCTAGCTCCTGTAGCAGGGTTTCAGTTCCAGCTTACTAGGTTGGCCCCTAAAACCCATTGAAAAATCTTAGTATATATGGTCCCTATTAAAGCCATTAGGGAAAATATCAAATATCCCAGGGGCCTACCCAGCTTATAGCTGTTAGGCTTGACATGACCCAAGTCAGGTGCTATTTGTGGGCTTTGCCGCTGTTAAATAACTCGGGGGCTACAGCAACTAGCGATAGGAGTCAAAGCGTTGCCTTCAAAGCTTGCAGGTTCGGGATAACCTACGTTTATACCTGTAGAAGTGACCCGCGCATGGCTCATGTGTAAGCCCATAACTACAGCCAGAGTTGGGTCTACACGAGTACTCGACAACTCCAGTGATTCTGAATTGAGAAATATCACTTGAAAAGTCTGTCCGGCTCTCTGACTCACTGGAACGCAAGTGCCCCTAAACCCTATGAAGCTTACCAAACACAAAAACATGCAAACAAAAAAAAAACATGTGAGGCAGATTTCAGGTTTTTGTGCCATGATTTCACTAACTTTTGACGAGGTATAGGTAAAACCAAATGAGCCCAAGGGGTTCAAGACTCAGCTCCTCGAGACTGGGCAACTGATCCGTGTATAGGAACCTGGATCGTTCTTGGAGGCGTTTAGGGTTTAGGGTTTAGGGGCTTGCTTTGCGGCATGGGTTATGAGGCTTGTAATATGGGTGGTTGTCAAAATTATGGTCCCTTTTGGTACCCTAAATATTAGGTGCCGTATTATAATAGGGATCCAAAAAGGGACCATCATTTTGACAACCACCCATCTGGATTATTGGGGGGTGTAGGTAGACTTACGACGTCAAAACATCATCCAAGTTGGGTATCTGCGAGGATGGGTTCGGATTTAAGCTCTGGAGCTCCAGAGTTTACGGCTTAGGGATATGGTTTTTGGCCAAGTTCGTCCCAATATGCACTAAGCTTCACTGTATAGCTTCTCCCACAGACGGATTCCTAATCTTTGGAAAGCCCTTCCCCCTTCCTACGATTTGTGGGTTCTTTGTTTTTTCTTGTTTAAAGAGGGGCTCCCAATCAAAAACTTCTGACAGAATGCCTTGCTGAGCTCAAGGCCCGGTATGAGTTCCTTGAAGGCAGGACCTGCTTTCATGGTCATCCCAAATGGACACCCCATGTATAGATTCATCAGAACCCTAACCCCATATAGGCGCATCCAAAAGAGGCGCACCCCGTCGTACACCCCAATATACTGGAATCCTTATCATGGTGACGCCCCCCAAAAAAGAAGCCGTACTTTTCGGATGGCCTCATATGAGCTATAGACTAAACTCCTAGTACTCGCCCTGATAAGCCCCTAAAAAAGCAATCCTATTTAGTCCGTAATATAACCCCTTGAAGGAGTTTAGACGATAGCTAATTTGCGGGTCGAGGAACTTCAGGAAAGCTTTGAACGTGGCAGCAGGGCAATCCTCGATCACGATGACCTTTGTCATGGTCTCCTCGACCAGTGCGGTCCCTTATGCTGGGCTTGCACTGCAATTGCAATGCACCGCTGAATAGTTAGGATACTCAAACAACCTGCCATGTCCAGCCAGGGAAAAACCTTTGACAGAGCTACGGTCAATACCGTCAATGTCTCCTTACGTTGCTAGTAGGCGCAGGTCCTCAAAAGGGAACATATCAGGGACTATACGAATCTCTCTGGCAAGGGGGCCGCCATGTCCACCCTTAGTGGTCCCTTGATAAGCCGAATATTGAATGTAGCTCCGGGCGCGCAGAGAGAAGCCCTAAAACCCAAAACCCTGAAACCTAAACCAGAAAGGCCATGCCCAGAATGTCTTAAGATGGAGAAGTGGAGGGTCCCTCGCGCGTCATGGCAAGATGGCCGCTCCCCAACCCCAGTGAAGGACCCAGCGGATGGAAAGACTTGTAGGGTTTAGGGTTTGGAGTTATGAAATCTCTGCAATGACTGGGCAATTGTTGCTGGACGACATGGAAGGTTGTCAAAATTGTGCGTTCATTTCGGGTACCCCTAAACATAGCCGCTGCAAGATACAGGGAACCCTGAAAAAAACCAAGCTGACAGCCCACCACATGAGTTACTATGCTTGCTCATTGTGAGAGCTGCGCTCCTGCATTCCAGCAGCCAGCTGTTTCTCGAAGACCTCAGACCTCGCCAGGGGTATCTTCAAAGACAACAAAGACAACACAGTAAGTGCATGCTTTTGCCAGAAAACCGACAAACGAAGGGCCTTGCGCTCAGGACTTGTGAGTGCGCATGGATCACCTGTTCCTTCACAATGAACTGGACGTCGCTGCTGCCACCTTTATCAAGAAGAACTTGCATGTCGTGGCTGAGTCCTGGCTCTAGAAGATTGGCTGGGTCGAGGTCGAGGTCATGTGCCTCTAAGAAGCCGGGGCGCACTTCCAGTGCGCACTTCACCGTTAGCACGTCGTCATTCACCCATTCTGACTGCAGCAGCTCTTCGTAAGAAAGACCAAAGATGCCGGAGGCTGTGAAGGTAGGCGACCGATTGCCTTCCCAGGACCAATACACATCAGGCCCAACATACGCTACGTCTGCATATGAATCAACGCGGCTGTGACCCGTCTCGCCCCATTGCACGAATGTTCCGTCATGCCCCTTGATATAGAGTCTGTATCGGAAGCATGTGCCTTCGTCTTGGCCTGATGAACGAAAGAATCGGATTGCAAGAGAGCCAAACTCTTGGTGTGACAGGCGGCCTGCATCAGGATGGTAAACAAGCTGAAACTCAGTGCTCCCAACCTTGAAGCATGCAGATGACGCATAGGATGTATCTTCTTCATCCCAGGAATCTTCAAGAACCCGCAGCGCATCCCTCAACCAGGACATGCCGGTCATTTGCCAAAGGTACTCGCCTTGAGCAACCCCTTGACTGAACTGCGTGCTCCCCTGGCCACTGAAGCTACGATGTTGCATGGCATTTGGGACAATTCTACGAAGTCGACGAGGATGAGAAGAGTCCCGAAAGCGACCGGCGCGATCTGCATCAACACTTTCCCGAAGTTCGCGATTCGATGAGTTCCGCCTCTGCTTGCTGCGCAGTTCTCCTCTCAGTTCTTCAAGCTCACGCCGCAATCGCTGCCTCTCTTCAGCCGCTGCTATCTGAGCAAGACAATCGTGGCTTCTGGCGTCTTCTGCCCGCAGTTCTGCCCTGACGGCCTCGATCTCAGCACGCAAGGCCTCGGCTCCTCCATTGGCCATGGCTGACACTCCGAACTGTGGCCTTCCGGCCTCCGTGTCGAATAAGGAACACAACACAACACCACTTCATCAACAGACTGCTAGCAAACAAGCACGCCTTGGGTTAAGCCCGCTGCCCCACGCAGCACCTACAGCGGCATAGTTGGAAAGTGCCCTTTGTCAGCACTATGAGTGGGCCTAACTTAACAGCACACCCCTTCACCCTAATCTTGCACTCAGGAATTCGGTCGCGCAGCATGACCGTGATACTTTAGCCTGCGAACGCAAAGATCCAAAACCCATCAAGGCCCTTAAGTGTTGGAAATCTGTAAAAAATCTTCACATACTGTCGTGAATGCGAACGGCGCTTGGGTCCCAGGTAGGGCTTAATGGCGCAGACCAGTCCCAAATTTGGACAACCACCTCATTAGTGCACGGGTCTCCCTGTGACTATTTCAGAGGGAAACCAGCAAATTCTGAGACCCCAACCTTTTCCTGCGCAAAGCATTCTGCATACCCTCCACCTACTGAGGGGAGACCCGTGTAAGTACTAAGACCCCTGAAGTCCCAAGGTCTCGTATATCGGCTCTGCCAGAAAAAGAGGTTTCCAAAACCAAGTCCCAAATGAGTAAGGCCTTGGGACGCCGGAACCCCATTATACTATAGTAGTTTCCATTTTCTTTTCCATTATCCCAATATAACCCCAATATAGCCCCAACATATACCGAAAGATAAGCACCGTTGTTTGGGGCCTTCGGGATTTTGGGGATGTCTACGGTATAAGGAAGCCCGGCCCGATAGGTTGCAAAGTTTAGATCCCAATTTGTTCTTACGAAAATGCTGAATACTTGTCGGGAAACCTTGCACAACCAATCTTGAGCACGAACCTTATAAGGGCTTGTTAAAATGAAGCCTGCATGTCCCTATACCTCCGGACAAGCAAAATTCTGTGTCTGCATAATGAAACCCCCAAGCCCTATAAACCAAATAGCCAAACGTAGGTAATATTTACAGACTTTAGGGCCTAATGCAGGCATTACTTGTACACTTGGATCCCAAAGGAAAATCCAGGCCGAGGGACTGGAAGGGTTCGTCCGATACGTACTCAAAAGGCTCTTCAGGGCCTTCAGTCGGGCGGTTTAGGGTTTAGAACTGAACCTCCAACCGACAGATATGATTTACAGTCTATATTTCCCAGAGAACCAATGGACATGGGGTCCTTGTTAGGGAATCTATTCAGGACTACACAAAATTATAAAGGGTCACTATGTCCACCCTCGATGGTCAATCGGCAACCCCAATATTGACAGTGGCTCATATATGGGGGAGTTCTACCCGGATCTCAAGGGTATGTAGAATAATAGTCCCAAATCCCTCAAAACAGACTAAACCCAATTGAACTACCTAGTGGGGGGTCCATAGTATAAGGTTGCCTGTATCCGTACTCAACATCAACGCAGCATACCCTGACAGTATATCTGAAAGTCAGGCGTGCATGCAGGGTTAAGGTAGGGTAGAGAGTTTGTGTGCAGCCAGTTGCTGGATACTGTAAACCCCCTCTCTCTCTCTCACACGCGCTCAGGAGGACGTGTCAGAAGCTAGTTTCTGAGGGCCGGGCCAATCCGCTTATGTACCTAAACCCTAAAACCGCTTACTGTCAGCAAAAAGGAAACTCAGGATGCAACATGACTCTCTAGGTCGGCCCCTAAAACCCATTGAAAAATATTAGTATATATAGTCCCCTATTAAAGCCATTAGGAAAATATTCAATATCCCAGGGGCCTACCCAGATCTTGATTGAATGACCGGAAGTGCTTCCCTTTTCCCTTGGCCGAGGCCTCATAAAAACCTTCAGGCGGTTTAGGGTTTAGGGTCTAGGGTTTAGGGTTTAGGGAGCCCTATACATCTCCATGGCTCTCGATTCAGGATTGGTGTCATGATCGCCTGCCCGCAATATATGATACAACCGCCCAACCCTTAACCCTTAACCTTATAAACCCTAAATCCTATACCCTACTCGAACTCTTTCAGACACACCCAACAAAGGTTTGGGTCAACAGCTTTGAACTGCAGGGGTTGGAGTCGATGGTTGGGTGTGGGGTTTAAACCCTACCAAACTTAAATCCCAACCGTAGGTGAAATGATTGCCTAAAAACCGTAGAAAAACAACTCAGAAGGCCATTGCTCTACATATTTTTGGGTTGAGGTAAACCCTAAACCCTGGCGTGAAGGGGATGGACCAGCCAGCACAACCCACCGCCGAGATGTCATAGCGTACAATGACTACCTGGACCCCAAAGGTATGTAAAGTAGTGTTCTCAAACCCCTAAAAACAGTCCAAAAGGGCCCTCTTCTGTGTACTTTGGGCATCCAGGTAATCACCATGCCAATTCCTGCCTTTGAGAGACAGGGGTGAGGGTTAAGGGCTTGGGCTTTAAGGGGCTTACAATAGACCTCCAGTGTCCAGAGTTTCACAGTATAACGGTTGATACTATGGGGTTCTGAGACTGAATGGCCTGTTTTGCTCCAAGCTAGTGTTCTGGGTGTTGACGCCGTGAGCTTGTGGTGCACATGGGTCCCAGCGAGCCCTTGCTGGTCCTTTCCACGTCCAATCCCCAACTCCCTCAGCGCGAGCCACAAGAAAGTCAACCCTTTTGTGCAACCCGAAGGTCTTGAACCTTGAGTTCCCTGTCTCTCTCTCGCCCCATCTGCCTCTCTGTCCGCCTCTCCCGCCCTCTCTCGCCATCCCTCATTCTCTCTCCCTGCCTCATAACCAGGAAACCTGCACCCTAACCCTAGAGAGCTCAGCCGCCCAACACCTTGAACCCTTAACTCAAAAACCCCTCAGCCCTGCGGTCTGCACCTGCCCCAAATCCCCAAATTTTGAAGATCCTAAGCCCTAAATACCCTAAATTCGAAACTTTGAAGACCAGAAGCCCTTGAGCTTCTTCCAGATGACCTCTGCCAGCTCGAGGACCTGCAGCAAACACAGTCTGGGCTGCTGTTAAGGAACTCAAGCTGGGACCATAACATGGGTATATAAGGTCTAGGGTTGGGGGGTTAGGGTTAGGGCACGGTTAGGGCTGTTTAAAACCTTAGGGAATTGCTGTTAAGGAACTCGAAGTAAGTTACCATAAGATAGGTATGTATGGTAAATGACAGGGTTCCCTAATTATAGTAGCTGATTTAAACTCCCTGCTCAACAGCCCAGCAACTTCAGGAGTAAGGGGCAAAGCTTGGGTTTCAGGGTTTCGGATTAGGCTCAGGGATTAGGATGGCTTTTAGGATGTGGGCTGGGGTTGAAAGTTGGGCTTTAGGCTGTGGAGTTCGGGCTTTAGGGTTGGAGCCTTTCTCAAAAACAGGGGTGTATGCTGGAGGCCAAAAGGATACTTGAGGATTACATCGGGAGCATTACAAAGTTGGCGACCTACTAGCGACGTCTTGCCCATCAAGCGTCACAGCTTTCCAGAAGGGTGCTCTCTAGATGGCGCGTCTTGCTGAGTACATCATTATGAGACTGTTCTTGGAGCTATAATCTAAACTCCTAGTATCCCCCTGAATAACCCTTATAATAGTCCCCTATATAACCCCCTTAAAGCAGTTTAGACTATTGCCCATTTGTTATTGCACTCCTTCAAACGGATACCAATTCAAGACCTCAGGGAATGCTCGCGTGGAAGAGTGTGTGGGGAGAAGGGGATGATACATTGGGTGGACCCCCACACCCAGTAATAGTGGCGATGATCGATAATAAGGGTTATACTAGGGTCCTCCTATATTCCTGTTCTACCTCCATTACAGGGTGGGGGGGGCCCTCCTAAATGATACATGTGATAAAGCAGCGTGCGTATCAGGAGATAGCAGGGAGGGAGAATGTTTAGAAGTTCCTTCTTCTTGTAAGGATAAGAACTGAAGGCTTATACGACCTCGGACTATAATCTTTGAAATTTAAGATCTAGGTCTAAGTCTTACACGCCTTGCGCTTTGCCACTTCAGGCTTTGGGTCATGCTGCTAATGGAAAGAAATCCGGAAACACTGCGCACCAAGCTGGTGAGCCTCTGAATTCCGAAATAAGGGTTGCCGTCGAGCCCTGCATAAAATTAAGGCCCTGTTCAAAGAGACTGCCACCCTGTCTAACAATACCCGAACCGGATTTGCAAACATTACCCCATCGAGCTCCGCGCCGTATGCCCAACTGGCGTAGAGATGTTGAAGTCCTGAACGTGTGAACAAGTGAGGGTCTCCCTAAATTAGGAGTGCCCACAGTAAGGGTTATAATCTTCGGGAGTCTAGATCAGGGTCCCCTATTTATAACTCACAGGTATCCATATAGTACAAACTTTGGACACAAAGTGTTCCTGTATGGGTACCTTGGAGCTTCGAGGGGAAGGCAAAGGGCACGGAACACCCCTAAACCCTAAACCCCAAACCCTAAACCTTAAACCGCCAGTCATATACCATCGCAGGTCCTACACCCAGTCTCAAGCAACCTCGCACCTCACACTTCACATGAGTTATAGTCTAAACTCCTATTATCCCGTTTAGGGTTTAGGGTTTAGGGGTTTAGAGGTTTAGGGTTTAGGGATTAGGGTTTAGGGTTTAGGGCTCCCCCTTAATAACCCTTAGAGTACTCCTCTTTCGTATCCCCTATATATACGCCCCTTTAAGGAGTTGAGACTATGGCTCACATCATCAACTTCAGCCCCGAAAGCTGAACCCATCTTCCTCTCTGGACCCTGAATGCCCTACAGACTTCAATTTGTTGATTATATTTTTCTGCCAGAATATGGAGGTATATTGGGATAGGAGACGAAAATAGAACCTACTATAGTAATATTGGGGTTATTGGGATAATAGAAAAGAAAATGGAAACGCTAAACCCTAAACTCTGACCTTAAACCCTAAACCCTAAACCACATACTTCAAGCTTGTGGACATCTTTCTACCAGCTCAAGGTGTCCTCATTCCGGGACTTCGGGTGCATGATGCACTTGACAATGCCGCGAGCAAGGTCTCCGGC